GGGGCGTTGCCCCCGAGCCCCCACGGGGCGCGCTGCCCCCTCGACCCCCCGCGACCTGACCAGGCAAGTCGATCCTCGTTTGTGTGCCCCGCAGCGGCGAAGTGGCAAACAATTTTGCCTAAACGGATTGAGTCGAGCTTTTGAGTATTTGACCGAAGTCGATACGAAGTCACTTTAATCGATTTTCAATTCTCGATTTATTTAACCAATATCCAACCGTTTTTAATATGGAAAAAGGTATCTCTCCTTAATCATTCATCCATCGAGTAAACTTTTGGTTGATTATATGTTTGTGTTTGAAATTTTTTGTTTACTCTCAAAATTAAATTGGAAGCTTATTAGGATAAGCCTATGTTTTAAAACCCACAGAATCTGTTCACATTTAATTTTTTTTTTTAATAAAATTTTATTTTAATAGGAAATTTTTAGGATGAAAGGTATTAAGTCCATGATGTGTATAATAACTGAGCAGTATTTATGAATGTCTGTTAAAATTAAAATTTGACTTTACTTGAACCGAAAATAAACTTATAAGTAACTTTTCAAAGTAGCCTAACATGGGAATACTCTTCACAAAATTGATTTATTCCTAGACTAAATAAAATGCGCAAGGTTGGATCATCCAATCTGAAGCAACTTCTTGAATATCCATTTTGTTAATTATTATTAGATACTATGTCAAACGTTGAGATTTTGGGGGCTTCCAATTTTATATGGAACAAATGTTTTCTAAATGGTAATGTTCAAACCATTAATATTGTAGGGACCTTCACCTATTTGAAGTATTAGACCTATTCCACTTCTAGTTAGAGTCAACCTTCTACATTCCAATTAATGTGCAAGTAAGGTATAATTTAAAAGTTGATAAAAGTTACAAATTTTACGAAACGTGTGGTTAAAATTAAAATTTGATTAATGAAAAAGTCGATAAATTAAAAAAAAAAAAATTTGTCAAACAAGCCATCAATAATATTGCTAAAACTTCAACCCAACACTACCTATCTCACATTAGAGTTAATATTTATCCATTCAAATGACAGAGAGACGACGTGAAATGGCTCCTTCAACCTCCAATCTGAAGCAACTTCTTAAATATCAATCCAAGTGCAAAAGGCTCGAGATGTTTGATGGCCAGGGACAACTCGTTCTAATTGTCACTCACTTTATAATAAAGTTGTGTTCTGAAGATGATGAAATAATTATTTTATTGAAGAGCCTTGAAGATTCAGCGAAGCTTTGTTGGATTTACAGCCGTCATAGTGAAGAAGACAGAAAATTTTCCACCATGTTCTGGAATTTTATAACACAGCTTAAAGTGTTCTTCGAAGTCCCAAATTTTAAGAGTACTGCAAATCCCAATGAGGTTGTTGCGGCCTTTGTTGACCTTCTCCTTGAACTCTTAGAAGAAATACTTCATCGTCGGCCATATTTCATTCATGGAAAGGTCGAAAAATTCATTCAAACTCTAAAGATGGAGCTGAAATTTCTTATCACCTTTCTTGGGGATACACCATCTCAGCTCACTGAGCTTGAGACAACCAAGAATGTATTGAAAGATATTGAAGCTGTGGCCAATGACGTGGGAAGCTTCTTATATTCATTCTTTCTCAACAAAGATCGTATTTCTATAGGTGAAATGAATAACTCTCTTTCTGATTTGTTGAGAAATGTGGAGCTTGTGAAAGAAAGCATCACTACGCACTGTTTCACAGTGGCTCATATATGGTCAAGCCGTATGACTCCAAAGATTGCAGTGGTTTCCCTCTCTTCTGTTGATTCTATCCTTGATTATATAGAGGATAGAATCAACAATGATGACAGGATTGCTGATGTGAAGGATCAAATTAGAACAATCCATCAGAACTTGACGAATTTGAAGAATAGCGTAAAAGAACTTGCAATCCATCCGGAATGTGAAGAATACTCTATGCAACTTATTAACGTAGCATTTGAAGTTGAATACATCATCCACTCATTTGCTCCTCAGTCATACATCACCCTCAGGATTCTTCAAGTCACTGAGAAGATTATACCTATGATGATGCAACTCCAAAAACTGAAGAAGAATGATTCTGGAAAGCTAAAGGTTGCAGAATATGATTCTGGAAAGCTAAAGGGTGAAGATTATCCAAGGAAACATGGACCATTGCTAGTTCAAGGGGTTCAAATTGGAGAAAGTCATCTATATCACTTTATGGATGCGGAAATGAAAATTATAAAAATACTCCTTGAAGGACCTGAACTACTAGCTATTTCCATTATTGGCATGCCTGGACTTGGCAAGACAACATTAGCAAATAGGTTATATAACAATCCAATGATTATTAATCATTTTCACAGGAGGATCTGGTGTGTTGTCTCTCGAACTTACCAGAGGAGAAATATTTTAATTGACATTTTGATGTCAATAGACACCGATAACAAAGACCAATTTCTGAATATGGAAGATGAAATGTTGACCGAACTGATCTTCCAATATTTAAAGGGGAAGAGATACATCATCATCATGGACGATATATGGAATGTAAACGCATGGGATGATATAAAAAGATGCTTTCCTGATGACCGCAATGGAAGCAAAATATTGATCACCAGTCGAAACATGAATGTTGCCTCTTCAAATTATCGCTGCAACTTCTCTCTTCGTCTCCTGCGGGAGGATGAAAGTTGGAATTTATTGCTGGGGAAGGTGTTCAACAAAGAACGCTGCCCTCCAGAGTTGGTAGATGTCGTAAAGAAAATTGCAAGAAATTGTGGTGGATTACCAATTACAGTTGTTATGATAGCTTCGGTACTTAAGAATTTGGAGAAGAAAAGATCTTTATGGATGGAAGTTGCTGAAAATATAACTTCATACATCTCTAAAGAGACAAATGAGTACATGAGTGTGCTAGAAGAGAGTTATAATGATTTACCATTGTACTTGAAACCATGTTTTCTTTACTTTGGAGTATTTGAGAAAGGAAGGGAAATCCCAGTACGGAAGTTGAAAATGTTATGGCATGCTGAAGGATTTATAGGGAAAGTGGAAGATAAGAGCTCAGAGGATGTGGCACAGGAATATTTAATGGATCTAAGTAATAGAAACTTGTTGCTACTTGCTAAAAGAAAATCTGACGGTGGAATGAAATCATGTACTATCCATGGTGTAATGCATGACATGTGCTCGAGACTGGCCGATAAAGATAACTTCGTGAAGGCGATCACAGAGTAAGCTCTCTCTCTCTCTCTCTAAAAAGATAACCCTATTTTTCTCTAGCTTTTTGTCAATGTTTCTATTTTACCCTGCTAATGCTGCTGACGAATGTGGTGATCATGTCAAACGTTGCTGCTGTTGCTGATATGGTACATTGAGGTTCTTCAGTCGATTATCAATATATGAGCAACACCACTGCCTAAGCATTCACTCTCACTCAATTCCTTCTTTCTCAAGACCTTTCGGCCTACATATTCGCTCTTTGTTGGGGTATTTACCTGATCCATCCGCATTCATCTTTTCCAGCTTGAAACATCTTAAGGTATTGGACTTGTCAAGCACAGATTTGAGATTGTATAATCTGTCAGGAAGTGAAGTGTTGGCTTCCTTAAGGTTCTTGGCAGTTTCATCTATTCCATCATCAGTAGAGATATTCAAGAACCTAGAATTTCTTTTGGTGGATAACAAAGAAGTAGTGGAAATCCCAGTTATCCTTTTAAATATGGTGAAGTCGAGATGTGTGCATTTCAGTGGTGGTGCACAATTCAGTGAATCTTGGCGTCAAGCAACTCATGATGAGAGCTTCCAAATGAAAACCCTACAAAATCTTTCTTTTATTTTCATTTATGACGAAAATGACGAGAAAATCCTGAGATCTTTTCCCCGTCTTCGCATGCTGAAATGCAAATATACAGTGTTTTGGGATTCATCAAAGAACCGCTATCGCTATCCTGCCTTACACTACCTTAGTCAGCTTGAATACCTTAATATATCATTCCGATCGAGTTATGAGTCAGATGGCATTACTCCCGGATTGATCAGTTTACCCTCGAGTCTTAGAAAGCTAACTCTCTGTAACTTCGATTTATCTCGGATGCATATGGAGATAATTGGGAAGTTACCCCGCCTTGAGGTTCTCAAGTTACGAGATGATACAATTCAGGGAAAACGGTGGGGACATAAACGAAGGTGAATTCATACGACTCAAATACTTGGAACTGGACGCGGTACAGATCGAACATTGGAATGCCTATTATACTCCTTTCCCCTCGCTTGAAAGACTAGTATTGCGAAGCTGCCAACATTTTCAGATTCCTTCCAGTTTTGGGAAAATTTCAACTCTACAGAAGATTGAGGTACTTGGCTGCACAAAATCCGTTGAACGCTCTGCTTTTCAAGTCAACGTCGAAACTCTAGGCTTGGGGAATGACGCCTTCGAAGTCATTGTCTCCAGCTCTGGCTCTTATGGTAAGGTTGGCAAGTACAGCATCAGTTTTTGCAGCTACATCTAAGAATTCATTATTAATTTACTCGTTGATTTCGAACAATTATTTATTTATTATTATTAATATTTTTTTCCTTGCAGACTTGTGAAGCTGAAATGATGCTGGAACTTGTTTGTGGTGGGTAAAATCAACTAACCAAAATTGTGAAAGTTTTAATAATTGGTGAAATACATTGTACTCTATTTTTGGTTTCAAATGAAATCGGAGACTCGTTCTGTGCAAGGACCTGAATTTGTTTGTTTATTAAGCGCATGAGTTTATTTTAGTTCAAATATACGTCTTATAAGAGGAAAAATCGTAAATTTAGTCTCTATCCTATCCCCTTATTTGCAAAAGGAGCCTCGTTCTATTCTTTTTGCATTAAAATCCCCACGTTTAATTTTTGTTGCAACGAGGTTCTTAACAGATATCATTTAGAGTATTGCACTTACATCATAGTTTTCGCTTGGTGCTTCACATTTTAGTTGCAATTAAAGTCTCCAACATTTGCTCATTGTCGTATTAATGTTCCTAACTTTTTTCACTGCATTCTTATCATTAATCTTCAATTTAATTAAATTAGAATATCTTGTCTCTAACTATGGTTTCTTTCCAAAAAATTATATTAGGAGTGCATAAAAGACTTCTTTGCCCTTCATAATGTGAAAGACGAAATATTTTTCCCTTCATTTCAAATCACGCTAACAAATATTTTTACAATTCTTAGAATATGGTAAAGTTAATCGTAGCAAACGACCAAATATTCTATTCTTGAGGTCATATAGAAAGCCCAATACACACCAAAACATAATTGTCCCCGTTTGACCCCCTTTTTTTGGAAATGAAAATGGGAGGAATAGTGGTTTTTTTAAAAAATGAATGGTTGAAAAAGACAGATTTTTTTATTTATTTACGTGTAATATTATTTTATAGAAGATTGTATAGTTGAAAATAGAAAAGAGAAAAGAGAAAAATGGAATGTAATTTAATGAGTACCAAACAGGGCTAGGTTGCATGGAGTCCAAGTCAAAAAATTCACACATTAGTTATTAAATTTAATATGTTTAGGATTATATAACCAACGCATTCAACAGGGGTAGCTAAGCTTTTATCGACTAAATCATCATCTTAATTAAAAAGTTACCTTAACATCATCACAACCAAGCAATGAAATTAATGTAGTGTCTTAAATTTTATCGTTACAAGGTTTAATTAATTATTCCTTGTTATTGTCCTTGAAAAATAATATTCTATTTAATTTCAATATCAAACCTTGACATATTATATTTTTACGTGAGTATGCTTTATTCATCACGTTTTTTTCAGTACATTACTACATTCTGAATTAATTTACAAGGTTCACTAAGCAAATTATGATTACTTGAAATTTTCCTCAACTTTCCATAATATACTTTTACGTGTAATTTACCATCATATTCTTAGATTAGGGTTTTTTTTTCCCCTAACAACATTATAGAAATTGTCTACGAACTAAAGTGATCATTTATATGATGATGTATTAGATATATTGAATCAACTGATTGTAATTGGAAAAATAAGTTGATTTTTCTCTAAAACTTAAACTATACATGCACGCCTGTGGAAGAAACTGTAACTGTGTAACATATTTATTTATTTAATATAAGATGAAAAAGAAATAGTTGAAGCTTGTTTGATTATTTTATTTTTCTTATAAATTTTATTTATGGGTATGTATGATCACATCATAGGTTTCTTCATTTTATCACATTTTAATAGCATTTAAGACTTTTTCAATATTTGTTTATTGTAACAATTATATTCTCAACACTTTTTGTCAAATTTTTATCATCAACCTTCCAAGATTAGCACACCACATCTTTTATAATAATTTTCATTAAAAAATATCTTGAAAATGCTTGAAATGACATATCTATCATATGTTTTTAATCATATTTTTAAAGTAATACAACTTAAATGGGTTCGTTATTTGAAGTTTATTAATTATTTTAAAATATTTCATAAAATAAAACTTAAATGGCTTCTCTATACATTTTATAATTGTTTTAGGAGTGATATGAGCAACAATAGCCAGAGAAAATTTTGACCATATGCTCATAGACAATGGAAATCCAATGTCTGTCTTATATGTAAGCACTTTTGATCAAATGAAGACATATTATCAATGGATCCTATGACGGAGCCTTACTTTTCTACCAGAGGAGATCAAGTCCCTCGTGGACATGTCACTCTATTAGTGACAGTAGGTGAGGAGCCTCGGGTGTACTGATGATATATGAATTTCTATATTTTGGATGAAAAGTCAGTTTATGAAGAAATTCTTGGGTAGCCTACTATGAGACAAGCAAAAATAACACTCTCTCTTCATCAATAACATGTTTAATTCTTCATTAATAGAGGCGGAGGGAATCATGAGGAGAAGTCATCTCAGAATCTATGAAGACTGCCTCGTGAGTTCTCCAAGAGCATAATAGCTGTAGTGGAAGCAAGTAACCTAGATGAGTTAAAAAATTTCTTGAAAGCAAACCTGGATGTATTAGATTGGAAACATGTTGATATGGTAGGCAAAGATCCCAAAGTATCTTGTCGCTCCTTGAAAATGGACCCCAAAATAAAACCTAAGATTCAAAAAAGACAACCAATGAGCTTTGAAAAATATCAAGCATCAAAAAGTGAAGTTGATAAATAGTTGGAAAACAATTTTATTCGCGACGCCCAGTATCTAGTTTGGGTATGTAACCCGGTATAAATTCCGAAAAGTAATAGAAAATGATGAACTTATCAGGATTTTAGAAATCTAAATAAAGCATGTTCCGAAGATAGTATTTTGCTCCCCAAAATTTATTAGCTGGTGGGTGCAATAGCGGGATATGAATTATTAAGTTTTATGGACATGTAGTCCAAGTATAATCAAATTTCCATGAATGAACCAGGTGAGGAGCATACTGCCTTCATAATGGATCAAAGACTATATTATTACAAAGTAATGTTATTGGGCTAAAAAATGGTGGTGCCATATATCAAAGAAAATGTTCGTGGATCAAATAGGCAAAATTATGGAAGGAGATACGATGACATGCTCGTCAAAATACTCAAAGCTGAAAATCATTTAAAGAATCTAGAGGAAGCCTTTAACATACTGCTGAAACATCGAATGAAACTAAACCTGCTGAAATGTGCTTTTGGAGTTATGTATTTACGGTAAATTAGCAAGGCATTGAAGTGAGCTCTAATAAAATTTGAGCCCTAATTGAAATACAATCTCCAACAAAGCTTAAAGAGGCAAAAGCTTAGACAGAAATGGTTGCACCCTTAAGTAAATTTATTTCACGAGCTACATATAAATGCTTTCCAATCTTCCAAACATTAAAGAAGGGAAAAGATTTGCATGGACTGATGGTCATGAATAAAGTGACAATCAACCTCAGTGTGTTTGGCGTGCTCATGAAAGAAGGGATTGCTTGCAATCTAAATAGCACTAGTATTGCCGGCATGGAGAGAAGTAGGAACCAAATAATCTCAGAACACGCTGAAGACATGTCACGAGACTCAGCCTCAATAGATGATTTAGAAACACGATCTTGTTTCTTACATTTCCAGGAGATCAATGCATCACCCAAAAACATACACCAACTCAAAGTAGTCCGTATTAGGACACCTGGCCCAATTAGCATCACTGTAGGCCAAGAGCTAAAAAGAAGCCCCTTTAGGAAAGAACAAACTACGAGTAGATGATCCACGAAGATAGCGAACAATACGGCGAATAGCCACAAGATGAAGATGCTGAGGTGAAGACATAAACTGGCTGACTTGATGTATGGCATATGAGATATCTGGGCAAGTGGTGGTTAAATAGATAAGACTCCCAACTAGACGACAATATAAAGTAGGGTCTTCCAGAAGATCCCGTTCGTCCTTCTTGTACTTTACATTGACTTCCATAGGGGTATCTAAAGAAGAGTCTTCCAAGCCATCCAACGCAATAAGATCCCGAACATACTTATGCTGGTTTAAGAAAATACCTTGATCCCGATGATGAACTTCTAGGCCCAAAAAATATGTAAGCTGACCGAGATCTTTCATGTGAAAAGTGGCATGCAATAACTGTTGAATCTTAGAAATGAAACTACAATCTATCCCAGTAATGATGATATCATCCACATAAACCAAAAGAGGTACAATACTTGAGGCAGATTTGTGAAAAAAGAAAAAAGAATCATATTGACTCTGTGTAAAACTAAAGGTAATAAGTGTGCGAAACTTCTCAAACCAAGCCCGAGAAACCTTCTTGAGTCCATACAGAGAACGTAGTAGTCTACAGACACCATGAGGAGAAGAACTAGTCATACTGGAGGGAAGCTTCATATAAATTACCTCATGAAGATCACCATGAAGAAATGCGTTCTTCACATCCAATTGATGAAGTTTCTGTGACTGGGAAGCAACAATAGCTAAGACTGTCCGCACAGTGGTCATTTTGGCAATAGGACCAAATGTCTCCTCATAGTCAAGTCCATATTCTTGTTTGTTAACCATGGCTATAAGACGTGCTTTGTATCGATCCAAAGAGCCGTCAAAACAAAGTTTCACATAGAAAACCCATTTACTCCCAATAGGTTTCATCGCTGGAGGACACGGAACAATGTCCCAAGTGTGATTCTCTTCAAGTGCCTAAAGCTTTGCTTTCATTGCATTTTTCCAACACTCATGTTCCATAGCTTGTTTATAAAAAGAGGGAATGGAAATAGTAGATAAAGTAGCAACAAGAGAGACGAGAGATGAGAAACCATACTGATCAGGTGGTTGAGAAGGACGTGTAGAGCGATAAAGATAGGTGGGAACTATAGTAGGATCAGATGGTAGAGTGGGATCAAGAGGGGGCACAGAAGGAGTGGTACCCGACTCACGAGTACGTCGTTCATATACAAGTCTTGATTTAAATTGTGTCACTAGAGGAGAAAAAATAGAGAAGTTAGGCAGGATAGATAAAGAAATAGATGGCAGCTCAACATGAGACAAAAAATATATATATATATTGGTTTCAAGGGAAACCACATTCCTAGAGATATGGATGCATTGAGTATGAGGATCATAACAAACATAACCCTTTTGAGAGACAACATAACTAAGGAAAGCACACTTAACAGATTGAGCAGTAAGTTCATGTCACTCATGAGGAGGAAGATGCACAAAACAAATACAACCAAATGTATGCAGATCAGAGTATGACAGTGCATGACCATACAACCTAAAGAATGGAGAAGCATGACTTAAGGTGGGAGATGGTAAACAA